CTAGATTATAAAACAACAGAATGTTAGATGCCTTCTGAAGAAGCTGGGCCCTATCCCCATACCTCCCTCTGTGTGTGTGTGTGTGTGTGTGTGTGCGCGCGCGCATGCACATGCGTGCACACTTGGTTTCTATTTTCTTTTTTTGTCCTTTTTTTTCCTTAAATTTCCAAGTATTTTTTCACCAGTAAGTTGACAGCTAATTTAAATGATAATGTTCTTTCTACTTTATCACTGTACCAATGTAATTTGAGAAACATTAAATTAGAGAAATCAGTTTTTTAAGCAGACATTAGTACTTCCAGAATAAAATGTGGCTTCACTTAAAGTTGAGAAAACATTTACTGGGCTCTTAGGAGCAACTAGAAATAAAACATGGAAATTATTAGTGGTAGACTACTCACCAGAGAGTGTTTCCCTGGTGACTGCTCCTTCTGTTGTCCAGTTGACCTTGGCTCTGAGTGTAGGTGAATTCAAATATTCAGTTCTGTATTTAAGGAAGTATTCAATTACTGTAAGAAACCTTTGTGCTGAAATTATTTTGTGCTACTCTTCCTAGTAATACCAGTGTGTCTGGAGTTGAATCCCTGTTGCTCTTCCAAGGTAGCTTAACCTCTCTGTGCCTGTTCTTAATCATCTGTAAAATGAGCATAATAACATTGGGTCACATACATAATCCAGTAAATGTTCACTGTTTTCATGGGCAGTGACACTGACCACATCATCATGGTTGTTGTCACAGCTCTCTGGTTTACTTTTAAAAACATACACTAATACCATCAACTAAGACTGCATTTTCTTTATAGTCCCATGTTAATCAGAGTAATGTTGGTCAGGCTAATACTAGAAAACCTCTCATACCGTATATGTGAGGAAGATGTTTGTATGTTTTTCATGACTTAATGGAATGGGTTGCCATTTTTACATGTAAGTTTTATTTAAATTTTTCTGTTATTTGTTTCTTGAATTATAGCCTCTAAGTGGTCACAGTGTTTATGTAATTAAAGTTTAGAGTATGCTATGTGACTAACATTGGTTTTGTTGCTTCGTCGTAGAAACGGGCAGGAGTGACCTTCAATGTGGAGGACCCATCTCCTAGCGCACATCCTGATGACCACATCATGGACAGAGCTTTGGCTTGAATTAAAGGACTTTTTTTTTTTTTTTTTAACTTCAGCACATAGTTTGTATATTTGAAAATAATGTACATTCTTTTACCTTTCAGGTTCTGATTTGATATACAAAGGGCTAAGATATTTTATTCTTAAAGAGACATTTTGAATTGTCTTAATATATTTATCTACTCAAATACATCATTTATGATAAACAGTATGTTGTTTTGGACTATTACAGAGACCACTAGGAAGGCACTCTAAAGGGGACAGGTGGGGGGTGTTTCTGAATAGTAGACTAGCTGCTACGGTACTGTGAAAACAGGATTAATTTTGTTTCTCAAGGATGATTTTAGACAGCAACTGAATTTAGACTAGTAGAAATGGAATTGTATAATTCAGTGATTAATCACAAGTTTTCCCTGGAGGAAAGACTTTTCTAGAACATTAAACCTGTGAATGAGATGAGAGAACTCTATAGCTTTCTTGAACCTCCATGTCATCATCTAGAAACTTGGAAACCTAAGAAGACTTTTTCATTGTTTTCTCTTTGGAATTATAGGAAAAGCACTAGATGACTTTAGGATTTGCATTTTTTCCTTTTTAATTCCTAATTTCATATGACACCTTAAAGGAGAGAGAAATTTATCCATTTTTTTCTACAAATAAAAGAAGCTAAGATTCTGCATCATACATGAGCAATAAATTTTTCATTGCCTTAAGGAAATTGAGTAGGCAGACTTTTTTTTTGTAAATGATGAATGTGTTGGTTCCAACTACAATTTAGTCTTTACAATTAAAAAGATGATAGATGGAGAATTTTGATTGTCGTTGTTAGAAAATAAGCAACCAGTTTTCTTGATTGATTTAAAGCAGACTTAATGATCATGACCTTGTGTCATCATCTATCCTTTTTAAAATCTTGGCTCTTCTTATAGGTGAAAGGATCAGGTTAATGTAAAGCTTTTGGAGACCGTGCTCTTAAGTTTTCTAAAATGATTAAGCACCCACATACTCTTCTCTCCCTTCTTGTAGGTAGAAGTTGAGGAGGGTGAGGGAAAGTTATTTCTTAACTTGAAATTGTTGTCCTTTGTTGCTTCTAAGCTAGTTGCTGTGTATATCTTTATTTTGTGAGTAAAAATAAATGTCTATTGAGAAAAATAGAATTTTAAAGAATTTATTCTTACAGCTGTATCTAAGTTGTGTATAGCTTATTTTTTTCAAACTATTTATTGCACCTGGGTTCTAGCCACTCATAGTGAAACACTTGGTGAGTTTTACTTTACCTTTTTCCCCCCCCCCCCACTTTACTGAAGTAAACTCTGGCCAGATTCAATATGAGGAGCTACTGAAACAGAAAATTTGTTTTACTTAGAGCTCTCATGTTAACAGCTTCAAAGTAGGTTTCCCTAATAACCATTATCTTTGAAATCTGCCTTCTGTGGTTCTTTGAGAATAGGAAAGTATGTCCTTGATTCTGTACCAAGTAGATTTTTGTGCTCTTTGTATTTTAAGATACATACTTGGGAGAAATACTTTAATTAGTAATTCTTTACAGTAGCCAATGAAGCAGACTTTTAAAAAGAATACTGTGACAGATCAAGGTAAATTGTTTTTGATAATTACAGAAGTGTGATTTCTTAATTAGCAGCTATCATATTAATTAAAAAGTTTGAACACTAAACTATAAATAGAAGAGATTGGAAGAATTGTAGTGGTCTGGTCTCATCTCAAGAAACATGTCTTCCATAGCAGAGAAAGGCATTACCAAGAGAAAATAGAAAACTGCAACACTTCGAAAGTTTCCTTTGCCTTTTTTTTTAGATAGAAATAAATATGAGAAGGGTCAAATATTAGCAGAATTTTTGCTGAGACATAAAATTGATAAAATGCTACTCAGAATAATGGGGAATGTAAGAAGGAAGAGTAAACCAGAGAGGTTTGGTTAAGGTTAGTCATACTACTTATGGCAGTTGTCATTTTCCTTCTAACAATTGTCATAAGAGCCATTTGTTTACAAATAGTGTAGAAACAATATATTTTTAACTCTCAAAGTCACAGGTGGTGTGTGAAGGAAGCAATTTGGCCCTGAACTTCACTGAAGCACTCTGTCATCTGCTGCCTGCTGGTGCTGCTTCTGGGTTTCCCACCAGAAAACCACAAAGGCCAGGAGAGACGCAAAAACACAGCACCTTCAGCAGGTAAACCTTGCTTGCTGACTTTTTGGGGATCTTCAGTATATAAAACCTTTCCTGAGAGATTGTTCCCTGCAGTCACTGAGGAGTGATGACAATAAAAGGCCGAATTGCAGTGTGCCCATCAGCAGTTTGCTCTCTGTGGGGTGCACAATGACAAAATCTCCGGAAGCGAACCACTGGTCTGACCTCAGTAACATCAGGATTGAAGCTTTGCACTTGGGCCGGCTTTCCAAGAGGGGTCTTCCCAAAAAGAGCTCAGATCTTTTTAAGAAAAAATACTCAGTGAATCTGAGACATCGGGCCTTAAATGAGTATTAAATACGTTTCTAGATACTTTACAGTATACTTGCTGAATCAAGGACTGCTAGAACCATAAAACAATAACAGACTTTCAAGAACAGGTGTGTTCCCACTTGACTGAAATACCTAGTGTAACCAAATTCCCCAGGAGGATAGCTTAATTGGCAAGTCTCTCCTTTTGAGAACATTAAAGTTTATTTGCTCAGTGAAAGCTGAGATTAAGTCAGTATATGTATGTTACTAACTAGAACTTGAGGTAATTACATGTTTGGTCAAAAGCAGTTTGAGCTCAGCGCAAACCCTGTTTTGTGATTTAGAAAGCACAGGGTGCCGGCCTGAACCAGAGTGAGTCTTGTGTATAACATACGCTGTGCTTCTGTGATGCAACAACCAATTAGAAAAGCCACCTACGCCTTTCCCAGTTAATTCTGGTTTTTGAAGTTTTAAAAAGACAAGCATTTCACTTTAAAAATGCTAACATGTAATTCTAGTTACTAAGGTGGAATTTCTATAATGTCCTTATCAGCCATGCAGCTAGAGATTTGCCCTTATCCTAAGAGCAAAGTATAAAATAAGTTATAAATTGAAAAAGGTATGTGCATCACATTAATTTAGGAATAAAAGTCAGTGCCTTCTTTTTGTTGAGGTTTAAGCTTGTATATTATGGGCTAATGAGAAACCTGGGAATCCCAGTACTTTCTGTGGGCTTGTGACTACATAGGTATTGGATCCCAGGATTGTGCTTTTGGAAGCATCTTAGGGATTTCCTGATTAGAACAGTAGTGATTGCATAAAAAGAACAGATTAAAGTGAAACCAGCCAAATGTCTTAGTAGGTAGAGTGTGCAAGAATTTTAAAGAATATATATATATAAAAGTTCTTCCCATGCATTAATTTTCCAGATATCCTTAAAATGTTCTCTTAAAGTGCTATTACTCAAAGTATTTAAAATAGGTACATGAGGAACGCCTGCGTGGCTCAGTTGGTTAAGTGTCCCAATTCTTGATCTCAGCTCAGGTCTCAATCTCACAGTTTTAAGTTCAAGCCCTACGTTGGGCTCCTACTTTAAAAAAAATTTTTTTTTTTAAATAGGTGCGGGATCCATTGTTCTTCCTGGGAATGTGAATCATTACAGAATGTATTAAGTAGTGGTACGTGCTGCTTAAAAAGTTTGTGGAAATGGGGGTGCCTGTGTGGCTCAGTCGGTTGAGTGTCTCTTGATTTCAGCTCAGGTCATGATCTCAGGGTGTGAAATCTAGCCCCATGTTGGGCTCCCTGTTCAGCGGGGAGTGTGCGTAAGACTTTCTGTCCCTCCCCTGCTCTCGCTCTCAAAATCTTCAAAGAAAAAAAAAGTTTGTGAAAATGCGTACTCTGTAAGGTAAGTGATAACCATTTCTTTAAAGTTGTTTAAATGTGTAAACACTGTTAAAGAGAATTATTTGAAATAGTTATAGCTTAGGATCCCAATTATCTTTTTTGAAATATCTTCTTTTCCTACTCTAAGATGTAACTTAGTGTTGTCTTCTTAACAGATGATCTGTAGATTTTACAGCTAGAGACTGGAACTAGAAAATCCAGAGAATTCAAGATGGGTCATGGCAGTATATTGAGCTGCACTTAAAAGTTGATTAGTTACCGAATCCCAGGATTATAACTTATTTCAGGTAAACTTTCTTCTACTTTTACACGTTTAATGAAGAACCTTTTGCTGGTGTTGTAAATTCTTTTTTATAAAATGTTCCCTAAATATTACTACTATTCTTTGTAAGTTACTTAGATTTAAAAATCTTCCCTCTTTCAAGTAAACACCAATAGTGTGATCATGAAATGATTAGCAGTAGTCAGTCTCTTTATTTGCAGAGTCTATGTTTGTAAATTTATCTGTAACCCCAAAATCAGGATGTGTGGTACTTTTGCAGTTGTGGTGGACACGTACCCATACAATGTGTTGAAAATTTTGAGGCACCAGACACACTTTTCCAGTTGGGGTTGAACAAGAGGACGCTTTGCCTTCTTATTTCAGCTCAAACTATCAACACTGTGTTCTTTTCCACAGTCTATTTAGTACCAGGTTTTCCAAAATTTTGTATCTTGGTGATATCACAGTTTAAAATGGCCCCCAGGCATAGTGTTGTCTACTGTTCTCAGCACATGAAGGCTGTGAAGGGCCTTATAGAGAAAATACATGTTAGATAAGCTTTGTTCAGGCATGAGTTACAGTGCTATTGGCCGTGCGTTCCATGTTATCAGAGAATCAGTAGGTTCTGGAGCCTGAGTTTGGGTTGCTTCCACAGTGGTCCAAACTTTGCCATTCCGAAAAGTATCTGCATAATGAACGGTTTCTTTTCCCAAACCGAGTATGTAAAACAGTGATGTCTTAGATATGGACAGAAATCAAGGTTGCTAGAATTTTGGATGTTTAAAGGCATTCCTCTTGTTACACTGGCTTGGGTTCTTCTTTCCTTTAAGCAAATATATTTACAAATCCCTTATTTTCATAAAAATAGCTAAGATAAAAAATTTCTTATAAATCTAGTGGGAGTATTGCACTTTTGCCAATATTACATGGTTGGAACTTATTTGTACTCATTTTAAAGGACA